TTGCATTGGTGCTTTTCTTTCCTGCTGAGAGTATGGCAATGACGATCATAAACGCCGCATATTCCAATATCAATTTCAAATTGTCTTTATCAGTGTTGTTACCTTTTCTATGGTGCTCGCTTGGAGAAATTAGCGAAAGAGGAAGGAGACTATGCATCAAGTTTTACGCCCGGATATTGCACAAATAACTGAGATAAAAAGCTGAATATAGCATGCAGTTTTATCAATGATGATAATTATTGTTATACAACGAAAGAAGAAATCAAGTTATTCTGAGTATTAAATTAAATTTAGAGGAAGTGACATTAATTGCTGACTTGAAATAGTTAAACTCACCTGTTTTCTTGCGGTTTGTTCACTCTGTTCTTAAGATTTAGACACACCTGCATTTAAAGATGTAAACGGTGAAAAGAGATCGATGGCACACGACACAATTCCCATTCGTTGTAGATGCGCATGCAGACCTTAACATTCCCTTCTGCGTTATGGAAGGAATTATTTGGTTTTCGTTTTGTCTGCACTGAATCCATCACTGCTCTTCGCCAGCAAAAGTGCTGTTGATCGCATGATCAGCTTGGCAACTTACTCAGATCGCTAGGTTGGTAAGTCTGATAACACAGCCGTCATACATCGCTTGGTTTTAAAAGCTGGCAGCTAGATCCGTCGGTCAGAAAAAAATTCCTAGTCAAGTATGTAACTGTACATCAGTAGAGTTATTGGTGTACATGCAGGGAATATATACCGGTGAAAGAGAGGATTTGTATTAAATCAGTCCATAGATAAGTTTTGTTAAAAGGTAATCAGTTTTTTCAATTCTAAAATGCAATTGAGCTTATCTAGAACTGGTTGCCATAACCATAGGTTTTTGGAATGCCCAGAGTAATGGCTTCGAACAATCTTTCCCACACAGCCATCCTTGCCCGGCAACTCCTGCTTTGAGCCAGCCACATGCAGTGTACACAAATTGAGAGATCCTTATAGTGTAAAATTGGGGAGCAAAATTGATTGATATTCTTCGAAACCCAAAACCCCTTACCATTTTAATTTCATCAAAAAATATTCTGCCTACCAAAGAGGTTTCATTTCCGTGAAATATGACAAATAATTTGAAATGTACGAAAGTAGGATAAATTGTTTTATTTTGTTGAAACTTTTTTTAAAGAGGTAAACTTTCCCTGAAAATGGACTACAAATTATTTTCTTGAACTGTGGCAAATAGGTCTCACACATATTCTGATGAGATCTTACTAGAGGAAACTCTCAGATATCCTTCCGGTTTCACTAACAAAAAAACAGTTAATCGCTCCGGTTATGTATAAGGCTGCTCCGTCGATGCTACGTATACGTATTATTTTTAACTCACGGCATGCTAAATGGTTAAATGGTTTTTTTGGGAGGAAGAAAATTTTATGTAAATTGAAAACAGAAATTTTGTCAAGGAAGCACTAAATGTATTCTGAGGAGATCTACGCACGATGTGACTCGTAGACGTTCTTCATTTTGAATAACAGAAAACGATGAAAAAATATATATTTGACTTTAAAAAAAACACACAGTTGTTGTTATGTATAAGGCTGCTACGTACTATCTTTTACTTAAGAAACGGGTAAATGGTTTTGTTAAGGAAATATTAATAGGCATGTTTCGTATTCCCCGATGGCCCTGGGAAGAGCACGATTGCGAGGCTAATGCGGGTCAACTTCTTTGCAGAAACAAAGACAAACAGTTAATTTGCCACTGAGTCGCTGGAAAACGATAGAAATCTTAAAAATAGTAAGATTTCAAAGGTTACACTTTTTCAGTAAGTCAAAGGGATATCTGTTGCAAACAACAAAATTGTGGGAAAAGTAGATCGTACTTAACAGAAGAAGGGAAAAAGTGACGAAGCCAAAAGAAGAAGTAAACTTTTTAAGCTTGAAAAGGGTAAAATTTGTTAAAATGACAATATTAATTTTTATTTCCTTTAGTTATCTTACTTCTTAGCATTCTATTTTACTCTTGTGTATATCTGTAAAATGAAGTTTAAACTGCTCAGTATATCGTCTCTATATATAAAATTCTGTGTTCGAGGTCTTGTCGAGTGAAATGTGGGCACGTACGGTTTTCTTTAGGTGACTAAATATTTTGATAAGCTAAAATAAAGTAAACTAGATGTAAGCTTATGTGTAAAGAAACTTATACCATTTTAATCATCTTCGCTTAAACCGATTTAACTTCTTTACAGTGTTTACAGTGCAAGAAATTTATGCAGAACGTCTGCCCCGTCGGTTTATTTTTTTTCAAATACACAAGATTTTGCATTCGCTCCGTTTAGCAAAAAATGTCAACTAAAAAGAAGGTATCAGTTTGACTTGCAGGCTTTCGACAAGTACGTACACTCCAATGCAAGATATAGCTATGGCTAAAGCGAGTGATAGACTTGTTTATCACAATTAAATACCGCAGCGGAAATCCCACGCTACGCCCGCGCTGTATAAGCGAACTTTCTACATAATTGTATTATTCTCTTTGCAACCAGTGGACGTTCTACGTTGTTAGCCGCTTACGTAGCAATTCATTGTTTTTTTCCATTATGACGAGCTTTGCTTTTAAAACTGTGGTGCAGCGACCATAGGCTGATGCAGAAGACGATTGACGAGCTAGGGAAAAGCTATCTGGATTCCCAAGCCTTGAAGTTAGTGCACACGGACGACATTGCCACTTTGGACCTTACCCTTGGACAGAAGAAACTCCGGCTACACGCTTTAGTATAACTGAATAGTGCGGAAAAAAAACCCTAAGGCTGGCGAGACGAAACCAATCGAAACAACGCCCGTCACTACCAAGACATTAGCGAGCGATGGCGATTTAGAAGAGCTACGGAAAAAAGATCGGAGGAGTTTCATTAAATGACCCGCTTGTCACGCTCGGAGCTACAGAACAGACATTGTCAGTGCCCCTCGAGAGGCTTGACAACAACCCGCGGGTGTTCCTTGTCGTACAGGACAAGAAGGGAGGTGAGACAAAACCATTCTTATTCCCGACTTTGTTAGCACTGAAAACTGCGATGGATCCGTTGGTTGAGGACGAACAAGAAATTTTTGGGTCTAAACATGCATGCATTATTCTAATTGGCCCCAGAAACAAGCCAAAATTAGAAAATATTTTATTACCTACGTGGGTTGCCGCAAACGCGCGAATAATGCACAAGTTTACGAATATAGGAACATAACGAAACATAACATAATTATTGAATTTCTGAGTAGCCTGAGAGGCTAATATCTTCGAGAATATAGAGATTGAAATCTATTTACATACATAAAATAAATCTATTTAAATACATAAAATCTATTTACACACATGAAAAATGTTATACCAGTTAATGCATACGCACGGCAAGAAAAATGTTAAATATACCGTTATGTCAGAAAGGAGATTGCTTTCAGGAGTCTTTTAAAACCACATAAAGTAGGCTCAGATCTCACATTATTAGGTAGGAAGTTCCATTTCTTAGATGCAAAGTAACGAAAAGAGTTGAGGCCATAAGTAGTAGTAGCAGGTTTACATAGTGATAAAATATTAGTTCCGTAGAAGAGTATACATACTGACGAAAAGTAAGCATGTCTTTAACATTTTTAGGAAATCTTTCATATAGTTCAAACATTTGTAGATAGTGATTAACATATTTTGTATCCTTCGGTTGTATAGAGTTGGTCCTCCTGAATTATGTAGTAGCTGCTGGAAGGACGAAACTTTATTAAAAAACAATACGTAGGGCGCGCTTATAAAGAGATTCTAATTTTTCACAGTTTCTAGCACTACAAAAACTCCAAACCGTAGAACAGTATTGAAAGTGGGGCAAAATAAAGCGTTAAACAACTTCAACTTGGTAGCGGTACAAATAAGTTTATGAAATCTAATCATGACATTCAATTGATTGTTGACTTTTTTTACCCACTAAAGATACATGTTCATTGAGGTTTAACTGATTGTCGAAGGTCATTCCAAGTAAGTACAGAGAGTCCTCGACAGGAAAAGAGAATTTGTGGTCAGTGGTCCCTAAAACCATAGCATGGTGTTTGTCGCGGTTCACGATCATGCCGTTTTCTGTGTACCATGCCACTGGTTTGCAATTTGGACCTGATGAGGTATTCGCTCTTCAAGGGCTCTAAGGATCCACATCCGAGTCATAGAGTTGTTTGTCATCAGCGTAGGCGTGAATATTAACATCTTCGATATGATAGAATAGATCGTTCAGAAATATGTTGAATAACATCGGCCCGAGCACACGTCCTTGCGGAACTCCTCTGGTGATTGTCTGCCATCCCGAGAAAGAGTCTCCAACTTTTACCCTTCGTGTCCTGCCGCTCAGGTAGTCTGCAAACAAAGCGCAGGCGACAATCTTAAAAATAGTAAGATTTCAAAGGTTACACTTTACCAGTAAGTCAAAGGGATATCTGTTGCACTTAACAGAAGAAGGGAAAAAAGCGACGAAGCCAAAAGAACAAGTAGTTTTTAGCTTGAAAAGTGTAAAATTTGTTAAAAAATGACAATATTTTATTCCCTTCGATTATCTTACTTCTTAGTGTTCTGTTTTACTCTTGTGTATATCTGTAAAAACTCGCCTATTAAATTAATAACAGAAATTTGATCAAGAAACGACTTTGCTTAATTATGTTAGTCATTAAAATAATTTAGTTGGGGAAAGTTTGAAACGGATCTTTTATGGCCCCGCTGACCCCTGTACTTACGATAAACACAGCCAAGTAATTGGGTACGCTCTAGCGGTTAGCATTTTTCCTCCATATCAGTCAAGCCTTGAAGATCTGGTTGTAAAGGCCTGGATCCATGAGATTCACAAAGCAGTAAAATAGCTGCGATACGGGGCCCACAAGGCCAGGTTTCTTGTCTTTATCCGAGATTTATTTGTATTTGTCGTTGCAATGTTTTTTCGTTGTCCTACCCTCTTTAAATGACGAATACGATCAAATTTCATTTCACCTTTTTATATTAACAGGAAAATGGAGCTTCTTCTTGTTGTGTTGTTTCTGATGCTATGTAGCATTACAGCTGAAGGAAATTCAGGTAGGAGCATTTCATATTTACTCATTCGGTTAAGTACAGAAAACATGGTGGTGTGAGCCAAAATGCTAGACAAAAAGAATTTAGCGTTTTAAATCAGTTTCATGCTTACAAAATAAAACGCCTTAAAACGGTTTAATCCCATGAGACAAAACGATATTTTTTAAGGGGCAATATGAGTTACCCTTTTTGGGCCTTTGGGCTTTGCTGTTGTTAATCAGCAGTCAACCTCGTTCCCAGGTAGGAGAGAACCCAGGAAACGAGGTTGATCAACGGTATACTTACAACCTTAGTTGTTCCCAGAAAGGTGAGGCCCCCGTCTTAACACCTTAGAGTATTTTTTTTGTACGCAAAAAAGGGGGAATTCGAATGCACAGATGTTTGACCGGCATCAATTTATCTGAAACTGAAAATTCATTCGGATACAAATTAGCATGATTTCACTTATTGGAGATACGCCAGCAAAGCGGTACGTTTTACATGCAGCTTGCGATTCCGTCACGCACCTGTTTATAAATGGCAAAAGGAAACCGGTACAAAAATGTTTTGAATTCTCCATGAATTCGGAAACATTATTGAGGGTGTGAACCTATTGTAGCTAGCCCCAGTCGCCCCCAGACAAACTATGAAGGTTATACTGCTAAGGAACAATCTAATGTCTAAGATGCTAATGTACTATTAATTCGACTAGTAAGTACTAGACAAAGACAATTAAAAATTGTAGTGTGTATTAAAATTTTGCAGCATGCGGTTCAGTGGTAAACAATACTACCCTAACAAGCCCAGGATATCCAAACTCCTATCCAAAAAACATGGACTGTACCTGGACTTTGGAAATTCCGACAGAAAAAATTCTGAATGTGACCTTCGAATTACTTGACATTGTACCATCGTGGAAGTGTGGGTAGGCAATTAAAATGTTTTCTGAAACCAATGACGTGGAAAAGGTCTGTTAAGTCCTCGAGCCATATCCATCGTAAATGAGTGCTATAGAGCTCAACCTCTGCTAATAGACAAAGGCCTCTCCTAAACGGACTTTCTTGAGACTTTTCATAGTCCCATTAGGAGGGGCGGGGGAGGGGGAGGGGCTGGGAGGTAATATATCTTAAGCACAGTTCGAGTGTACTTTCGACAATAGATCTCTTTAGCTTATATATTTTTTTGTCTTTTTAAGTAGTAATAATACTGCAAACTTCGTCTTATTCACGTGCATATGTACCCATACTTTATGAAAAGAGAAAGAGGCAAAAGACTCTCTTTAAAGAGACTATGTCACCTGCGAATAGACCTTTTTACCGATACGGTGGTCATACATATTGAATTAATTGGATTCAAGGAGTATTATGGGATGCCCCTAAGGCATAAGGACGATCCATTATACTCGCATCAATATTTACGCTCGCTTTCGGGCCAATTTTTAAGTTTTTCTAGAAAAAGATTGAAATGGGAAAAAAAGATCGTTGTGCCGTCTTTGGATGTAATAACGAATGCCTTCTTCCCGAGAAATATACATTGAACTTCTCTTTTTGCCGGGAAAGAGCGCGAAAATACTGAGCGAGTGCCCCCTGAGCATCCCATAATACTCCTTAAATCTAATAAATTCAACATGGCCGACGTATCGGTAAAAAGGTGTACTGGGCTTATTAATACACGAACCACTCGTCAAGAGACGAGTATTTTTAACTGAATTTCCATTTTTCCTTTTAAGCAGATATCCAGACTTAATTGTCATTCTGCTTCTCGTGTAACTTTTCTGCCAACAGTTTATCAAAACAGTAGAGGTGACCCACTCTGCCTTGACTCTTAAACACCTTCTATTCTCGCTTGAACATATTCCAGGAGTTTATGGTCTTTCTATTTTATCAAGTCGTTGATAAACTACCTTCACTCAGCAGTTTTCCGAGTGAAGGTAATAAGATCACTAGATGGTACATGTACAAGGAAAACCTGCTACAAGTGAATGTTCAGAAATATCAATCCATGTTACTGGGTGCTGCATCAATCTGAGGCAGATAATATAAACCTGCATACAGATGGCGTAAACATAGAAAAATTGAAATCTTTTAAATTGTTTGGTGTACTCCTGGACTCTGCACTTAAGTTTAGTGAGCACATTAGCTCTGTTTGCAAAAAGGCTAGCCAACAAATAAGAGTTTTAAGACGTCTAAGGAAACTTATACCCACTTATGCTAAATTACAACTTTTCAAAGCTGCCATATGGCCTCACTTGACTTACTGCAGTACCATTTGGCATTTCTGCAGAGCCTCAAACAAACATAAAGTTGAAAGATTACAGGAGAGAGCCCTTAGACTAGTTTTCAACAATGACTCAGTCTCAGTGAGGCTGGCTGAACTCCTCTCACTTGTCAACAGAAGGCTTCAGGAAATTGCGATTCTCATGCAGTGTTTATGGCAAAGAAGAATAAACTTCCAAGTCAAATACAGGAACTTTTCATGCTCAAAGCAAACAGGGACAAGGGATATTCTTTAAAAAATTCAGATTTCAATCTGCCTCGTTTTAATACGATTAAATATGGAAAGCATTCACTAAGATACTATGGCTCTTTTCGTTAGTCGAAACGTACAAAGGAATTACGTGCCGAGGATAGTCTGCGTAGATTTAAGACTAAAATTAGGAGAACCGACCTGACTGCCTTAATCGAGGTTGGCCGTAGAAACTGCTTGCTTTGTAATAATTAACTTTAAGACCCTATGTTACAAAGCAAAATTTTTATCCTGTTATCATGTACATACATTTTTTCACGTGTTAGATTTTTAACCTCCCTAGTTTTTACTATTTGCATTTCTATCTTAACATTTTTTTAACACTATTTTAGTATTAAATTTTTGTTTATTTATTTATTCTATCTTTATTTTTGTCTCGCCAATTAGTGCTATGCGCTAGAGATTCTTGACACGTTAATAAAGTTCACTACTACTACTATTGACAATTTTGTGTATTAATTCGGCAAGACAAAGCCTAACAAGAAGGATCATCCCTTACTTTTTCATGGAAAAATAATTGTTGACCAAAGCGATGGGCGTAAATAATCTAACAGAGGAGTAGTTAGAAACTGCTGCATTAGAAGCGAAGAGGCTTACTTGCCTGCAATGTATACAACATAAAACTGCAATAATATTTATTTACAAAGCTATCTAAAACAAGACCAGTTACGGAATTGTGTGGGCAAAATGCAAGAACAAAACAAATATAATATGTCATCTTGCGCAGTTTATCGAAGCACGGTTGTTACCGAAAAATCCGATTTCTTTGTTTGTAGAAGAACAACGTCTTTACTGTTTCATCGTCAGTGTCAAAGAAAAGGCTTCGTTATTACTTGGAAGATAGATAAACAGCCCTGGATTTTTTATTTTCTTGTAGGAAGGACTATTTGAGCATTTACCATCAAAGCAACGTTCTGATTGGCAAATATTGCGGTCATTTGATGTATAATTTGGCAGTGATGGCTGCCGGGAATTACACAGTCATTAATTTCCACTCGCAAAACTTTAACAAAGGAAAGAGTGGATTCAGATTGCATTTCAGTGAGTTACCTCGAAATGGTAAGTGCAGTCAATGGACAACATCGTAATATAACAATTTCTTTGGGACATAATAGAGAGGAGAAGTGTGACGTCACGTTACCATGGTAGCACAAAACCAACGACGACGGCGACGGCAAGAATAACGGCAAAAATATTGTGTTTATATTAACAAACAACAACTTTGCACGTGTATCACGCTATTTTGTACATTTCTTTTCCGTCGTTGCACCACTACGACATGAAACTTCTTAATTTCACGAGCCTGCTTGGGGTAGGTGAACATAACACAGAAATTGTCGCTTTCTTTTTCTAAACTTGGATAACAATAGATTCAGTCCTAAAGAAAATTTCGCCAAGATTTGCCGAATTAAATGAAACTGAAAGAGATCGGTAAAGTTTGAAATAGTGCGAGTAGACTTTTAAGTGACTTTATCGGTTTGTTGTCATCCAAAATTTTGCTACCATGGCAACGTGACGAAACGACTTCTCCTCTCTATTCTCAAAATGAAGAGTTCCTGAGGTCTTGATAAGTGAAATTTCTCTCCTAATGGAAGTAGGGGGGGCTCCGCCCGAAGGGGGTATCTTTTTCAGGCTTCAGGTATATGAAAGGGTAAGGATTGCACTAGTTGAAGTATTTAAAAGGGTAGGGAAATCTGTCATTTGGGTCCGTGAAAGGGCTCAGAAGGGCTAACAGATGAATTTTATGGCTTTATAAAGTCGAAAAAACGTTCTGCCAGTGATTGATTCCTATTTGAAAGACAGTGCATTTAAAGCAGTAGTTAAAAGGGATGCAAAGTTACAAGGTATGTGAAAGAGGTACCATTTGTCAAAAGAAGGTATACGGAAGGAGTACTTTTTCGCGAAAAATGGTATATAAAAGGAAGGTATTCCCATGGCAACTACTTTCTCTATGAGTGCTACTTTGAAAACAAATTTGGCGGTCTATGACTTCACCAGTGGCTCACTGCATAGCTTCATCCAAATAAGGGACGACGTCTGACATTACCAGACTTCATAGTAAGTTAAATCATAATGGATTAACCAGAAGGAAACCAGAGTAGAACAAAATAGCAAGAAAGCTATGGGTATGAAGTGTGACATAGTGATACAGTGGTACATGTCACGCCAATGTTTAATAGGTACCAGTCCAAAAGATAAGTCAGACAATGACAAAAAGTTCAGTTAAACGTAACGTAATAAGTTTTATTTGAGACGCTTGTAACAATAATGTAAATTTCATACTTAAAGTATTAGATATAAATCATCTGTGCTTTTAAAAGAATAAATAGCTATAATTATTTCGTCTATTTCAAGTAACACTGGGGCAAATAATAGCGCTAAAACGAAACAGCGACGTTTAGTAAGTTTTTTAAAAGGTCTCTGAAAGGTCGGACGGTTCTTTCGTACATAGGAATAAATATAGCCCTCAAAGCTACAAATTTGATAAACAAGTAAAAAAAAAGATGGCACTCCCGGTAACCTTATGGGAAGAGAGGGAAAAGAGAGAGAGGGAAAAATGAAGTAGCAAGTCAATCCAAAATGGAGGCCAGGAGAGGCGTGGGGTCACTAGGCATGCGGGATTCTGAAACCTTTAACCGGAAGTTCAAAAACGTTTGCTGAAACTGGCACCTTCCCTCTTCGACTTTAACGAAAAAAAAAAAAACAATTCAAGTTTATTTTGAATTTTTTTTTGGTTAAAGTTGTTGTTGATTGTTTTGTCTTGCACTTTTTTTCTTGCAAAAATAAAGGTTGCTATATTTGTAATAACATATGAGCAAATTATCAAAAATGTACTCACTTACAAATAGAAGAGAAATAAACGTACACTTTTAAATTATCTTTTCATTTCTTTGGCAGAGCTATGCGGTTCAGCGATGGATAATACACTGAGATCCCCTGTATATGTACAAAGTTATCCACCAAATATGAACTGCGTCTATAATATTTCACTTCCACATGGGAAGGTGCAAAAGCTTGTATTTCAGATATTTGACCTGGCAATTGATCCAGAATGCAGGTGAGAGTACTATTACCACACGTTTAGTTTTCAGGTGTAGCTCTTTGGCGACAGAGTACTTAACTTGAGACTTTAGTCTGCAGTCTTCTCTTTTGGGAGAATCTTCAATTCAATCCTAGAGTTCTCAAATGAAGCTTCTTTTTTGTCATTTAAGTATCCCATTTAGGTATGCCATACAAAAGACTTTTTGATCGAGTCGATATGACTTTTTAAGTCCATTATACGAAAGATAATAATTTTCCCAAGCTTCGGATTGATCTCATCAACAGAGTAGCTTTTTTATACATTTCATTGGTATGCGAAGCATTATGCACATTGCCGAAGTTTAAGGGTAACATGAACATCATTATTCCTGTGTTTAAGGTTAATAAATGCATAAATTTGACCATCTTCGGCATAGAAGATGTTTGTCTGTATATACGAACGAATGAATCAATAAATCAATCAATGAAATAAAGAAAGAAAAAAGACGGGGAATGTAATGATCATTTGCGAAAACGTAAACTATTTTTGGTGTCAGGAAAGGTGGCTTATGATGCCAATCGTTCCCCTGAAAGCGCTAAGTTCAGGAATTTAACAGTCGTCGTTTTTTAAGTGGAAAAACCACCGACAGTATTCTGAACAGAAGCCTTAATTTGGATTAGCATTTTTAAAAAAGCATATAAAAGGAATTTGTTTATTGTCAACCCGTAAATGTTGAACATTTCCTTTGCAGATTCGACTACGTGAACATATCAGATGGTAATAATTTTATTGGACGATACTGCGGTAACTTAACTGGAGAAGTTATGTTTGTTTCACGGGACTATCTGGTATTGACATTTCACTCAGATGAGATATTTGATCCTGACAAAAGAGGGTTTGAAATATTTTTTACGGGAGATGTTTACACGCCTGGTAAGTGAATACAAAAATCAACTATATGACATCTATAATATATCAATAAGGTTGTGAGAACTAATATAAACAAAAAAGGGAAAATTCGGCTTTGATCTTTTATCACAAATGAAAAGGAACGGAGTTCAGAGTGCACAATGTGTTCGCGGAGTTTCCCTGAATATTTCTTGTCTGCAAGTATAATGGTCAAGGAAACGACTGAAAAGGTTCAGTTTTATTTTGAGATTGATCACGAAAAAAAGACCGGCTACGTGTTGAATTGCCTGAGGAAACAGACGACATTTCATTATTCACCACTGGTTTTCCAGCTAAATGACGTCTGCAGAAATTCGACACATTTTACCTGTCACTACCCATATCTGGGTAGTGCTTTATGATAGGTTGTCACAAACAAAATTTGCCTCAGCCAATGAGAAGCACTACCCAGTTCTGCTAAGTGACCCGTCACCAGTATAGTGGAATTTCTACAGTCGGTCCTCAGACGTCATTTCGCAGGATCGAAACCATTGGTGTGGTAAGTCGACCGTTTTCTCAGGCTACCTATTGAATTAGTACTTTGACGGTATATTTCAGCGCCTTGTCCGGTAGGCTGGACACTCAGCCTTTATGGTTCTTGCTACAAAATATCTTCCAACGAACTGAAGAGGTACAAAGCACAGTCCGCCTGTAAAGACCTAGGATCAAGCCTCGCTATACTGGACTCGTTGGCTAAAATACAAGAGCTCATCAAAAGAACAAACAGCCAGACGTGGATTGGCTTAAAGCGTGATCTCGAGGACAATTCAAGCTGGCAATGGGTTGACGGGTCTCGCGCTTTATATAGCTACTGGTGGAGTGGAGAGCCAAACAATTACAATAGTAAAGAAGATTGTGTAGTAATGAACCCTCACGTAGGAAAATGGAATGACCAAACGTGTTGGATTTCTCATTCTTACGTTTGTGAAGCCAACGGTAACACAATTTTTTAAAGCTCATACGATAATAGCGTAAAAAGCCCGAGCAAAACAGTACTGTAAATTTGATACCTACAGCAACAACAATGATAATTTTGATCGCTTAACCCAACTCAGTTACCTTGACGTGTAAGTCAACTATGAAGTTACTATGGCAACCGTTTTGACGGCCATGTTATTAAAATTTGCATTTTTCTTACAAAAAATGTTCCTTTTCTATTTTAACTAATTGAATTATAATGTTACACCTGACTATTAGTTTAGCAAATTTATGTAACTGTTAATGTAATAGAGGCCTCTTAGAGACAACTTTCAGAAGCAAAATAGCAGACGCTGGGTTAAGTTTTTAACAGTATTCATTTCCGCAGCTAGAAAACGAAGAAAAATTTTACAGTTGCACATTACACCAAGGATGACCCCAAACCGGTAGTAAAACGTTCTCGATTCGTCATGAAATAGGAAAAACCTACCTCGGGTGTGAACCTAGCCTAGACAAACTATAAGAGAACTGAAAGAGATAATCTAATAATTAAGATGCTGATGTTTTAATTCAACTACTGATTATTACTAAGAAAGGCAATATGATTAAAAATTGTGCATCGAATTTTGCAGCATGCGGTTCAGTGGTAAACAGTACTATACTTTCAAGCGTAGGATATCCAAACTACTATCCAGAAAACATGGACTGTACTTGGACTTGGGAAATTCCAAAAGGAAAAATTTTGAAAGTGAACTTTGTACTACTCGACATAGAACCTTGGTGGGATTGTTGGTAGGCGATTTAAACGTTTTCTGAAAATTATGAAGTAGAGTTGGGTCCTCGAGTCACATCCACCTGAAATCAGTGCTATAGAGCTGAACTTCTGCCAACGGGCCCTTCCCCTTAGCGGGCATTTTTCAAAGTCCCATTGGGGTGAAGCGCGCAGTTCTTTTGTCCATTTCACAATGACACAGTTCTAAGGCTTGGATCTTTTGTTTTCTCAATGTAGATCACGTAATAATACTCCAGAGAAATGTTTTCTTTAAATTTTGTCTTATTTACCTGCATATGTACGCAAAATTTATGAAATGATTTTTAATTTATTAAAGAATCCATAATTTATTTATAATGTATTTATAATATATGACGTCTTCCTGAGACCTTTAATTCGAAAACAAAACTGGTAAATAGTTAAATAGGTAAGGAGAAAAAGACACCTGCGAACTGGGGTTATTAATTAAGAACATCCTCGTTCCCAGGGTCCTCTCCTACTCGGCCCCTGTGGAGGAGAGGACCCTGGGAACGAGGTTGAATTAAGAACACACCAGTCTGCCAGGAGGCGCGTGAATTTTCATTTGTATTTACCTTTAAGCAAATATTCAGGCACGCTTTTTATTCTGCCTCTATTGAAACTTTTCCTTCTGATAGTTTAGCTAAAACACTTCGCTGAAAACAACTTCTATTCTAGCTTGAACATTGTCTAGGTTTCATTGTCATAACCAATTAATCATAATGTATTGATTCTTTTTGTAGAAGAACCAAACGTTTTTACTGTTTTAATGTACACACTATAAAACTTCTTCGTCAGTATTAAAGGAAAGGCTCCTATATTATTTGGAAGATAAACAGGCCTGGACATTTACTTTTCTTGTAGGAGGGACTATTTGAGCATTTTCCATCAACACAACGTTCTGATTGGCAGATACTGCGATAATTTGAAGAACAATTTGGCAGTGATGGTTGCCGCGGATTACACAGTGATTAAATTCCACTCGAAAAACTTTAAGAGAGAAAAGCGTGGATTCAGATTGCAGTTCAGTGAAATACCTCGAAGTGGTAAGTGCAGAAGGGAACCAAGCGTAATTCAATTGTATGGGAAATAATCCTCAGTTTTTAATCTATACTGCGCGCAAGCAGAAGCCCTTCGATTTTACTGGATAAGCAAAGTCTGGACGCCATCTAAACTGATGGCTATTATATAAAATGAAGTATTAGATCCCCATCGGCGATATTTTACACTCCACGTATGTCGTTTTGTAGAGATCCTAGCCTTCGTGGCAGGCGTTTGAAAGGAAGGGAAAGGGCGTTTTAGGCGCGAGAGAAACGCGAGGGGAAGCGCGAGAAGGGAGGGAAGGAAACGCCTGCCAGGAGACCATCGTTTTTCTCGTTTTTAATATCCACCAGGCGAATGTTAAAATCCTGATTGGCTAGTCTTCAAAACAAGTCAATCACAGCCTTAATATCTTTACCTGATTGGTTGAAATCAACATCACGCTACGGAGTAACTTAATCGATCTTTCAGTAATCATTATATGTTGTTAGTGAGGCGTGATGAGATTTCTGTACGGAATTCATCGTTAGAATTAGAAACTGGAGGCATCAATTTCAGCTTCAAAGGAGAATAGAAGAAAGCAGTTAAAAGTACCGTTTAAAGGTACCCAATGGCTTGTTTTACTCACTAGACGAAAGAGAGGAAAAATCAAACGCCTACCGCTCAGGCTACGCTTTATTAACGACCAGCTTATTGAAGACGAAGCGATCTATAATCCTTAACGGTCTTTGGTTTGAGGACTTGTTCTTGCTGGTTATAGATGTTATAAAGCCGCCAGGAACTTACTTAAATAATTGATTGCAGCTTTCTTGTGGATCTTCAAAGTTCAGCAATTCTTTCCCCGCTGCCATCGTTCTTTTGTATGCTCTCCTGGATTCAATTCGAAAGTCAGCAAAGTGTTTTTAATTTTTCTTGGACAAACATTGCATGCAAGTTGCGAGGTCCACCACGATTCCTTCAGCAAACGACGTAATAGATTTGCGCTGGATTTTATGTGACAAGCCACGCATCGTTGCAACTTTCTTCTTTCCACCGAGGACCGCATTTGAACTTTTTTTTATTGTACCTTCACTTCAGATTTCTTGTTTTAGGAAAACAAAAGCGAGAAAAACAGTACGACTAAAAATAAGTGTATCGCAGCCAGACTTATTTGACAGCTAGTCATTCACAGTTTGCGTTATTTTTGCATACATAATTAGTAGGCGGGATGGCGAGAACAATGGTTTCCTGGCAGGCGTTTTCCTCGTTCCCTCCCTCCTTGCGGGCCCCTCGCGTTTCCCTCACGCCCGAAACCCCCCTTCCTTTCCTTTTCAAAAGCCTGCCACGCAAGTTATAGAGATCGTCGCAGCTGCTTTCTGTTAAAAGTTTACGCAAGTTGCAAAATGTCAAAACACGTCGAAATCCTAACAAAATGTCTTCCCCAACTTACCCTAAAAAACACCCACACTACGATGGGTGTATGGATTTGTTCTAAGTTCGAGGGCTAAAACTGTTGCCATACTTTGAGCCAGTAGAGTGTATTCTGCATGACAGACGTTAGGTAACGACTGACACACAGGCCGCAACGGAGTTAGTTGTGAACTTGATTGCAGTTAAATTTTACAGTTGATACTGAGCGCGAACCGCCTCTGCTTACTGAAGAATCGAGTATGAATCTGACCTATGAAAACGTCATGCGCTCGTGTTACAAATCTGGGAAAATATCATCCAGTGCTTGGTGGGAAGGAACGTCGCCCAAAGGACAACGTATTTAAAAAGCGAAGCCTCCGAGGGAGGCAAGAATTGCCGAGAAGAAAAACTTAGTTGGTTTTATTCGTCCACAGTCATTAGCTTCAGCGGTATTCCGGAACACTGGATAATATTTTACCAGGTCCAAATGGCGGTTTACTCGATTTAACAGTATAAGTAAACGGCGATGCGCGCTAAAAACTGTAAAATTTCACTTCAATCAACAGGTCACAAATCAAATTATTCAATCAAAGGTCACAAATAACTCCTCTGCACTCTGTGGCAGAAACAATAATAATCCAAACGTAACTACGGCCATGCAAAAGACGTTTCGATGATCTCTGACTTTCTTCAACAGATCTATGCGGTTCAGCGATGAATAATATTGTGAGATCCCCTATATACGTACAAAGTTATCCACCAAATATGCACTGCGTCTACAATATATCAGTTCCACATGGCAAACTGCAAAAGCTTGTATTTCAAGTATTTGATCTGGCAATTGATCCAGAATGCAGGTTAGAACCTATTTTCCATACAATCTGTTGGTGAACGTTGTATTATTGAACTGATAACGAGAGAAACTATTTTTTTTTTACAATTTTCATTGCTGTGAGCACTAAATGACGAATTATTATCAATGATGACACTTGATTTTCTAGCTATCATTTTAATGTCCATTTGGTTGGTGGTTGCCTTATAAATCTCAAGGTGAAGTGTAGCGGTTACTCGTGAGCCTATCGTTATAGTGTTCCATGAAAAAAGTATGCTCCGGTAACCAACACACTGCCGAAAAGTATCGATAACATCATCACTCGGGTGGTTAGGGTTTCTAGAAACAAAATTTGACGCTTGTCAGCATATAGCATGCAGTTAAGGTTTTGATGATCACATCTTGAAAGAGGTGCAATATAAAAAACAAAAAGTAAAGATCCAAGAGTGGATACTTGTACGACACCAGACTCAATACATTCGGACAAAGGTGTGCGGCTTAATGTTTATTTACACTGTAAAGGAGCAGATAGAATGAATTTGTTTAATGTAGACTCGTGAAATATTGATTGTTTTCTTTGCAGGTTTAACTACTTGAACATTTCAGATGGTAATCATCTCATCGGCCATTACTGTGGTAATTTAACGGGAAAAGTTATTTTTGTTTCACGAGACTATCTGGTGTTAACATTTCATTCAAACGAGAGCTTTGACCCTAACAAAAAAGGATTTGAGATATTCTTTACGGACGATGTAAATATGCCTGGTAAGTGAATATAACAATCTTCTATCAATAATACTATGCCAATTTATATTAGAGTCCAGACACATCACGGGAAACTTATTTACAGTGTTTCTCCAACATGGCGAGCGGTTTTGAAAATTTATAAACACGGTTATTTCGGTTAACAACTAAAAAAGGCGTGAAATCGAGACCAAGATGCCTAAACATCAGTACTCGCCCAGGGCTCGTTTTCCCCTCTTTTGCTTTTACTACATTTTGACGTCATCAGCGATTTATTAATGAACAGACGCACGACATTCTGTAATATATATGTTAAGGAGAAAAGGTTAGGAGAATTAATATAATCACCAAAGGGAGAATTGGGCTTTAACCTTTTGTCAAATGAAAATGAACCGAGGTGACAGAATGACAAATTGCCTTTTCGGGGGACTATAATAGTCAACGAAAAGCTTCAGTGTTATTTTAAGATTGCGCTCTAAAAAAGTGACGGCTACGTATGGAAATACCTGCGAAAACAGCCGACATTTTGCGACCTCACAGGTCTTCCTGCGAAATAACGTGTAAAGAACTACTGCAGAAATTTCATACTAACTCCATCACAAGATCTACAATCCTGGTCAAAATCTTTGGGATACTTTGTGTTTCAGGTCCCCCCCCTGAACAGTGTTGGGTGTTACGAGTCAAACACTTTTTACATATTTTGCATACGCTAAGGACCTCAACTTTGTTCAGGGGGGGGAGGTGGAAAAAAATCTTGTTTGTGTTTATGAGTGTGTGTCGCAGCTTAGCTGTAAATTCCATAGAAAAACACGTGAAAAAAGGTGTCCCAAAACCTTTTGGCCAGGATTGCAGGTAGTGCCTCTGATTGGTTTTAATTAGTAACATTTCGCAGCACAACTAGACTCACGTGTGCGCTCTACCTACGGCTGTGACTCAAAATAAAAATAAGAGACTGCTCGTAGTCTAAGGCACAACTAATTAGAAGCACTCCAAGACCTGGGTACACGTATGAAATTTCGGCTGTCATCCATTAGACGTCATCTTACGGAGAAACCATTGCTGGAGTCGCGAAATGTTGGCTGTTTTCTCAGGCTTCCTATTGAATAAGCTTTACTTCGACTATATGTTTCAGCACCTTGTCCAGTAGGATGGACAAACCTTTATGGTTCTTGCTACAAAGTATCTTCCAACGAACTGGACTGGAACTCAGCAAAGGCAGCCTGCGAGGAACTGGGATCAAGTCTTGTTACTCTGAAATCACTGGCTAAAATACAAGAGCTCATTAAAAGAACAATTGGGCAGACGTGGATTGGTTTACAGAGGGATCTCACGGACAGTTCACGCTGGCAATGGGTTGATGGGTCTGCTGCATTTTATAGTCACTGGCTGAGTGGAGAGCCAAACAATTACGGAAATGGTCTCGAAGATTGTGTAGTAATGAACCCTCACATAGGAACATGGAATGACCAAGGGTGTTCGAAATCTCATTATTACGTTTGTGAAATCAACGGTAACACAACTTTCTATGATAATAAGTAAGCCCACGAGTAAAAAGTCAAGTAAATTGTAAGTTTGATATGTAAACAGTACTGTCAATGATTGTGCGGTTTACCTAACATCCTAATGAATCTGGACATTTCCCGAACGTCATAAAAGTAGACTTTTTGTAGAATAATAAAACAAAAATCAGATTTTGTTCCAGCGACAATAATAATAGCAGTCATCAACAACTTTTGATTCCCTCTGGTTACAGCTTATGATAATGTTCGTTCATTTCAGAAATATTGGACACCTTTAGATTCTAGAGCGAGACGACTACGACCATGAGATTTCATTTAAAGTTTTTTTTTCACGTATTCCCAAATAGTAGACACCGCGGATAACTTCACTCTACATCATTTTCACCGAACAAATTAACGCTGTTATCTATATTGAATGAAATTAGGTTCCTAGCTGCAAAATAATAAAACCTATAACACTTTATAACTCACTTGCGTCCGCTAACACGCTAACTCGTAGTAGAATGACGACGACTGTCACATTTCCCGCCAAAATGATGCTGGTTCACACGCGCGCACTACTGAGTATTGAGGAAATCTGGTACTCGTAGTCGTACTCGTACGTCTTAGAATCTAAAGGTCTCTACTTGTCTTTCGCAGGTTGCCCCCAGGACTGGATTCAAATCCTCGGCTCCTGCTACAGAGCCTCTTCTTACGCACTGGATTGGTTCGCGGCAGGATCGGCCTGTAAGGCAGTTGAATCTAGTCTTCCTATGGTGACTTCACGTGCTGAACAAGATGCCCTTGGCTCATTTCTAACACAAAGGCGCATGGACTGGTTTGCACAGGAATCCCAGTCACAATTTAAGTGGGGTTGGTTTGGTCAGTGGTTCACAAGCTAGTTACGTTCATGAATTACGCAGTCAATTGGATAGTTTGACGGGCGAAGGAGATTGTGTAGAGATAAATTCCAAGGGAAAACTGAAAAATAGAGACTGTCGTCACCACCATCAGTACCTTTGCACAATATCGGCAGGTAAGTAACTCCAAGAAAACATCATGTGTTTCTGGAAGAGTTAGAAGTTTTTCCAGATTATGCTTGTGTGTATTGTATAGAGGTGCCAGTTAAGAATCTTAAAAAGGTACCACTCACCTGAAAGAAATGGAATAAAAAAAAATTAAAATTAATACTTGATTGCAAGGTTCATTAACCCCAACGGGAGCGACCCACTCATAAACTAATCACGGAGTTTCCAGAATCATCAAGTAATTTTAGATTCATTGTAAAGTACTTTTCCAGCAAAAATAAATAAGCTCCTGGTAAAAAGCACTAAATGGATTTACTTTGCTTATCTTTTACACTCTGTCTATTTTAAAAAGGAACTAAGTGCAGAAAACCTTCACTGCGGGATGATGTGCTTGTTTCACCTTCTGATTGTCTTTTACCAACTCACCCACCTGGAAAGATTTGCTCCTTTTACTGCGCCCGTGGATATCAAGTCAGCGGTCCTTCATCTGCTCGTTGCGGGATTGGTGGATCATGGAGTGAGGATGCCAACACCATCATTTGTGATGGTTTGTATCTTGATCGTTTAAGTTTCACTTCCCCCCTCAATTGTAGCGTAAAAAATAAGCCATTGTTTAAAATTTTTTGGATTGCTATCAATCCAACCCAAAAGCTATTGACTTCTGCAGATTAGAGCTTGTGAATCAAGATGTCCTTGCAACTAGTAAATCGGACGCCTTATACCAAGTTTGTGCAGCATTCTTTTAATTGTAATTATTATATAAATCTTCAGTTATAAAATAATTATCACCACCGCTGCAGCCAACACTACTAACACCATTGCCACAATTATCATTATCATCATCGTCATCATCATTATCATCATCATCATAAAAAAACAACAACAGCATGGTGGTAAGTATCGCTACAATCATTAGGACCACATCATCTTCATCGTCCTTAAGTTTTTACTTTCATCAAAGTCAGGTACATCAGTTAATGTCAAAGCCAGATTAGTGCTGTTCGAGAGACTTTGTTGTTTGTTTTTTATTCAATAGAATGTGAAGAAGCTCTCGGTATGGGAGACGGAGAGATCTCCAACGGCCAAGTCATTGCTTCTTCGCAACTGGATGCCGAGCATGCAGCCATCAACGGCAGACTAAACGCTATAAGACCATCAAATAAAGTAGGATCGTGGTCACCTTATACCAATAATGTTAAGCAGTGGTTGCAGATAGATCGGGGCAGTCAAGAGCGCACCCTTGTAGCAAAGATTGCTACTCAAGGAGACAATGCTAACAGCACGTGGGTATCACAATACACATTACAGTACAGCGACAACGGAGATAAGTTCAATGTTTACAAAGAGCTAGGACAAGGCAAAGATAAGGTGAGACGCCTCTTCTTCGCCAAAGTGAAAAAAAGCAGTTTAGCATTTCTCCACCAACCTTTAAATACGTATATATTTTGCTCGTGTGCACTTTTGTTCAGAGTAAAAATATGTCTGGCAACCTGCTTCCTTTGAGGAATGCAGCAAGAAACGAATTTATTAACAGAATGTAACACATGTGAGTCCTACCTGGATTTTTCAGGTGTTCGATGGCAACACAGACTCGGATACCATTGTTTCTCATAAACTAAATCCACGCATAAGAGCAAGGTACATCCGTTTCCTACCAACCGCTTGGCATAAACACATCTCTATGAGGGTGGAACTCTATGGATGTAAAGGTAATTAACGAACAGATGGCTTTTAATTTAAAACATTTCCTAATTAACTTTAAATCTAAGGCTTACATGTATGAAGCGGACGCCCCTCCACAACCTCCCCAAAGCAGTTTACTTTTAGCTTAGATACATTTTGACGAAACTTGGAGACACACGGTTGCCTATTTTGGTTACGTCATATGAAACTATTGAAGGAGAGAGTTCAATCAATTTCCGAACAGTTTTCATAGCTTTGCCCTGAAATATTTTATTTAAAAAAAAACAGAAATTATAACATGATACATGATAAATTACCAAAAGAAGGACGAACGAACGACTGTACAGAACACAGAAGACATTTCCCGCTAACATAGGAGGAATTAAGTTAATTTTGTGAACCAATTTAACAAAATAATAACTCTTTCATGAGTCAATCTGACAAATGATCTTTCCTTAGGGACACCAAATTTTGGCCACTGGCTCCTAGATGATTCAGACACAGATTGCAATCTATTTCCGAACAGTTTTTTACAGTTTTACCCTGAATATGGATAAAATAGTAACAAAAGAATACAAGTGACAAATTATAACATGATAAATGATAAATTACCAAAAAAGGATTCACGATAAGGCGACTGTACAGAAGAAATTTCCCTTTAACATTAGAAGAATTCAGTTAATTTTGTGATCCAATTTATAAAAATAAAATCTTTCATGAGTCAATCTGACAAATAACATTTCCTTAGGGACAGCAAATTTTGGCCACTGGTTTCTAGATGGTTCTGATTCAGATGTAAGGTTAGTATAACATATAAATACGTCATCATCATCATCATCATCATAATAATAATATTCATGGTCATCATCATCGTTATCGTACGTCAACGCCTTTCGTCATGGAAATTTTATCATAATGTTCTCCATGCATTTGATAAATATTCACAAGTCACGCATCAAGGGAGAGTCCCTTCATCATTTGTCGTAGTTTTCAAAAACTTTGAAAGATCTCTTGTGCTATGCTCCTTCTAAGGTTATATTTCATATTTATTTTAACAATCATTGCTCTAATTTTCATTTCGTAGTTTTTTTGGTGCGGTCAACTACACTGAAGGTTGGTGCCTTGGAAGTAAAGCGGCGCATTTCAGTCAAAAAGGCTCCTTTGTCACCGTGCCCAAAATGAACATTACAAACTGCGACTTTACAATTGCTTTTTGGGTTAAAACCGATGGTATTGAGGGACCTTTAATGGCGATTTGGTCTGTGAGTGGAAAACTATTTTACGCGGCAATAAAGAATTCCAGTGTCATCTTGTCGATACATAACACTATAGCAAAAGCAAACTTCGCAATCAGTGACTGGAATCATGTTGCCATAACCTGCGAGGAGTCTAAGATCAAGGTGTTTGTAAATGGAACAGAAATTTTAACGAAGGAACAATGGAACGAGTTCTTCTTCTTAACGTCAGACCATCTTGAGACGGAAAATGTGATAGGAAATCATCCAGTCCTGTTCAAGTTGCCATTGGTAAATAAACCTTTTGTTGGGGCACTGATGGACCTTCATGTAATCGAAACTGCCTTGTCTGCAAATCAGATTTCTGACTTGAACAAAGGTAATCTGTTGTCATTAGGGAGTTTAACCAAATGAGTTTTTGAGTGGCGCACGTCGACCGGAAGTGAGCCGTTTTCGCTCTTTATACATCTTGACGCTGCCAAAATTGTAATGCCTTGTTGTCTTGCTCTTATAAGGGACTTGACGATCGGACGACGCGACGGCAGCCAAAACGTTGCTCCGCTAGGGCGCAAATGATGCTACTCGTGCTACAAATAAACTATATGCCCCCCAAAAGTCATGTGATTGTCGTAGTGATCTAAAAATGCATACAGGTTACGCTGAAAAAACGGAAGTAATTTTGAGGTGGTCAAGAACTTGAGCGTCTTGTTAGACGAGATGTCTAAACGGGGCTGATTAAAGCAGCTGGAGTGACAGCCCTACAGTCGCGAAAGAATCCCCATATTTTGGTGCTCCAACTTAATTGATCAGAAACAAAAGAATTAAACCGAATCCCTTGTATAGCCTACACACAAGTAAATAACTAACTGATGACGATATATTTTTGTGAACCTAAGGCACGCCGAAAACTCCGGTTATTAACAAAAAGAAAAGCAAGATAAATGGTTGCACAGTAAACCTCACATGGAATCGTGACGTGTGCGCCACTACGAAGAACACCATACGCTTTAGGGTGATAAATCCACAGGGCTACAGAGCAGAACGCCGGGTACAAGAGCATACTTCAGCGAAATTATATCATTTATTGACACTTGACTGCGACAAAATCTATCAGATTGAAGTGTCTTCGTGGATTGGAGAACGTCAAAGTGACTGGTCTACTCCTTGGCAAGTTCAAACTAACTCACCCAAGATAAAGCAGGAAACACAACACGTCTACTGTAAGTACCGCAAGGGAACAAAATATAGATTGCCTTAACCCAAGCCGCGCTGGCGTTCCTCCTAAGCAGACTTTCTTAGGGCCTCGTCACGCGTCGTTGCGTGATAATAAGTCAAAACGCCGTCTGCGCGAAACGCTACTTCCCCCAGGACCAGTGAGGCTTTATAATTCGTTCAGAACCGTAAGTTCACGGATGATGCCATTAGATTAGAAACAAACCAGAAAATGCCGGCTGCCAAAAAAAAAACTCCTTGATGTACTTATGATTCATCTCTCTATTATTTTGAACGGGGTAAATGGAACAGCAAGTCATTGCCACAATAATGACCGTCGATCAAGTCACGTTCAAGGAACGAGAACATTTTCTACCTTACCCTACAGGCATTATTTTTCAGACGATGCCTAACTAACTAGACATTATCCTATTCATAATACCCGTCAGTTTTTTTTAATATAAAACAAACTCCCGCAACCGAGACAATAACACCTATCCTCTTATGGATGACGTACATGTAAATTGCATGCATTCCATATCTTTCTACATTAATTTATTTCTGTCTTTCCAGCTAACGATGACGCTACAAAAATTTTGGGAATAGTTCTTGGAATCACCGTTACTCTTGCGGCAGCAATTCTCGTACGGATCTACCGAAGGAGGCAAAAAAGGGAAGAACGGTATGCTTAAATGACACTGAAAAGTCAAGAGGGTTTAAGGCATGGTTTACTGACACTGACACGCGCATGTTTAAAAGTTGGAAACATAATGTTTTTGCTGACATTTGTTTGCCTGGTGTACACGACGGAGGATCAAAAACAAAATCCGACAAGTTCACCATTTTTTCGTTAAAAACCGGGCAGACAAACCGTTAGTTCTGGCCTTTAAATTATACATTACAATATGTGCTACAGGCCGTAGGAAACATAATGTTTTTTTCAACAAAAGCTCACAGTGTCTAGTGTGAAGATTGTTAGAGAGCCCCGGTCTGCTGAGTGCAATTTCACAGTGTCAATCCTGAATCCTGATTCATGGTGCTTTTAGGTAGCAAATCGTCTAGTGAGAGCCGGAAATGTGCGCTTTAAAGTCGCCGATGACACAGGTAATGTTAAATACATCCGTAATGGCGATTACGGACAAAAGTGACCCCCTCACAAATTTTTGTTTGGGGGGAAGGGGCTACGGACCTCCCTGCTCCGCCGCCTAAGCAGTAGGAAAAACCGTTCTTCCTATGCAATTTCTTCATAGTTCGATTCTGTACAAAACGAAATTGTTAACTAATATTGGATAATTCTTATTTAGATCCAAGAAAGAAATTGTTCATTTTATGTCACTGGAAGTCCCACACGAGCGAGTAACCATCATGGGGGAACTTGGTCGAGGGGCTTTTGGCAAGGTTCATAAAGGTGTGATGAAGGAGCTGACAAACGCAAATATATATTCCGATACCAGTGAAGGAAATCCAAATGTACGTTCCAAGGACAGCCTACGAACACTGAAAGACAATGAAGGACGAATTGTTGCTGTTAAAGTCCTTCTTGGTGAGCTACTAAGCCATTTTCGATGAATACAAATCATGTTCGACCAGCACGTTGTTAACGTAAATAAAGTTTGTGTAACTTTAGTATAGTCGAAGTTCACTTCCATGTGGGATCAAGGCCTCTACTTCCGACAATGCAATGAAAAATAGCTTAACTTACATGTAACAGACATCTTGTTGATGCTGAGGCTAAAGTCAAACCTCCATAATCGGCCACCTCTCTACAACGGTCACTATTTTCTGTCTCTAGGGACAGTCTACACAATGACTCTTGTTTAAACGTCTCTTCAACGGCAACAGCCACTAACGCAAGACCCCAACTGCCAAAATATCCTGTGAACAACGGCCATTTTTTCCGCCGACTGATGAAAACGTGAATGATCATGGACCTTGATCCGTATGGCGCGTTGATGATGAATCGCGGCAATCCTATTTTGATTGTGTTCCATTTATACTGCTGCAGCAAGCATAAATTGTCTACGATACGTCTAGCCAATGCTGCGAACTTTGCTCGTTTTGTCACGCTAACATTTTGATTCAAAACATGATGCCCTTCATCATCACTTTCTTTGAACGGCTAAGCAGTTCACAAACTCTCTCGACATTGTTTTTCTTGACTGATTTTAACTGATATCCTTTTGTTCATTAACTCCCGTTTTTGTTTAGAAAATGCTGGAGAGGAGGAAAAACGACAGTTTCTTCAGGAAATTGACCTCATGAAGGACGTTGGATCACATCGAAATATTCTTAGCATACTCGGTTTTTGGATTCGGTCAGAGCCCATTATGTTGATCATGGAGTATGTTCCTCACGGAGATCTTCTGCAGTGGCTTAGAAACAAAAGACAGCAAATAAAGCATGTTACTGTATGTATCGATTTTTTGCCATTTTCTCCCTAATAACAAAATTTATATCAGCTTATTTGTTGTCCCGTTACATTTTCGATAAATGTATAGCCTGGAGCATTTCTCAAAATATAAAGTAAATTCAAATTTTTTGAACATGTCTTCCATTCCTGTTAACTAATTTATGAAACATTGATAATGCAACCAGAAATATGATAACGACTCTTTGGGTTAAAAAATGATAAATACAAGGGAGAGTAGATACTCGGGCGAAAGGGGCGGATGTATATGCCGTACTCAAAGGTTATCCTCTAATTTGTTTTAACCTGAATTTTCCGTAAAATTCATGGTGACAGCAAAGATGATGGCCATTTTAAATGAAGCCACTAGCTGCAACGCTATTTCCCACAACATTTCTTTCAGCTTGCAGAGCTTGTCGCAGTCTATAATAAAAATTTTTTTTATCTCTAAAACATCAAAGGAGAGCCAAATCCACTTGGGAGAAAGAAACACTGCTTTAGTTGTAACACGGGAAATGTATGAATTTGCTTTTACATTCTATATCCAAAGGTTGACATCGTTTTCTTGAAAACCGGTAATTTATTTGACCTGAACCAGAAAATCCTATTTCTAAAGAAAGAAATATCTATAATAAGGTGAGGCGATGTCGTATGGTTATTACGCTTTCATCTGTGTAGAAAATGACCTTTTAGCTCTGGTAAAATTGCCTCACCAGTCTATACTATATAGAATGTTAATTTGTGGACCTAAATCATGTTTTAACTACTTGCAGCTTACAAAGAAGAATAATGACCAGACCGATATCTTAGAAAGTCAGAAGAAAAACACGGATGGTCGAGAGATAAAAGAAGGAAAGGTCAAAAATGAAAAACAAGAGGAAAATGGCTCCAAACAACTGCAAGAACTAGAAAATCTGAACAAATCCAAGGAAACAGATGTTGACACCAATGTTGAGCGCCTACTTGAAATACGACCTCAGGGTTCAACTTGGGAAAAAGAAGAACCAACATCGCTGGGGCAGAGCTCGAGAAATCTCCCAGAAGTTGCTACAAACCTTGTTATGGTAGGAGACGAAGGACCCACTCATCAGCTCGCGAACTATGACGAACTGAAGGGAAGCGATGGAATAACCTTGACTATAGAAACAGAGGATAGGAACAGCGATGCTAATGGAAAGCAAAAGGAAATAGAAAGTTCGGAAAACGAGAAAAGCACGTCCAAAGGTGATGTCATGAACGTATACGTATCATCTCCAGAAACCAAACCTGGTAAAGAAGAAAACGAACAGAGGGTACAGTCATTACCACCGACCTTTAAAGACGACCAGTTTCCTGGATCCCTTGAAAGGACCACAGCGAGGGCCTCTAGAGAGCAAGACGAAGGCACTTGTGACATCGACAATAAAGATCACGTTTTTTCTGCAGATGATATGATGAGTTTTGCGTGGCAAATTGCTAAGGGAATGGTAGGTTAAGTCTTTTGCCTCTGAAACTATCGCACGTTTACTACATCCTTACACCATACGCGTTGCCCACAAACCGATAACCACTTTACGACGACTAATTACTAACGTCAAGGACAAAGACAAACTGGAGGACAGACAGGGAGCAGTTTTTCGAGATAAAAAGCTACAACTGCCAGGCTACTTACTTTGATAAGACCGGCAGAGACCTAACCACGCGACCGACTGAGCACAAACGAGCGACAAGAGACGGTGATGTCAACAATCATATTGCTGAACACCATTTACAGACGAAACATCAAATCGACTTGTATTACGTACTCTACATATTAGTATCAACGACTCTCTTTAGAAGGCTGCTTTCCAAACTTAGAGAAAACCGCACTGAATCGTAGTCAACAGTTACCGGCACCATACAAACGACTTATTGATGGACTCAAGCAAACCTAGGTACAAGAGAACGACTGGACAACCGACAATAAACGACTATTAAATTGTGATAATAGACGGATCGAAACGCATCATAGTCTTCACAGAGGATTCATAGCCAATAAAAATACGGCTTAATTGGCAAACAACTGATAACATCGAGACTTAATTGACCAAACAGGTCAATAATCAGAGCTTAATACCATCAACTGACATGACACAACCCACTTTGACTCTGAAAATGACTGCACCCCTGTACAGGTTGTCGAAACGTCAGTCACTGTCAAAAACAGTCCTATTCAGGACTTCGTTCACCCGAACGATCAAGCTCAACCAACTTATGAAATGACCACTGGGTTCAAACCTTTCACAGCTAAAATAAACTGTTGCCCACAAAAAAGGGTTAAAACTACTCGCCCAAATAATGGCTTCACCTCATTACGTTTTGTCAGAAGTGGTAACTATTAACAGTAACTGGCAAAATCTGTCTAAGAAGAAAATAAACAGCTACAAACGAAAAAAGGGATCAGGCAAAGGGCTAACAAGTAGATAGAAAAGACTAAGTTTTAAATCATCATTTTACCAGGATTACTTGGCCAGTAAAGGATTTGTTCATCGCGATCTGGCAGCCCGTAACATCTTACTTGGTGAAAACAAAGCGGTGAAGATTTCTGATTTTGGTATGCTACGCCGCACAGGTGAAAGTGAGATATACGAGGTGGCAACCGTTAAGAAACTGCCTATAAAATGGACATCACCTGATTCACTGGAGACCGGAATTTTTACTTCCAAGAGTGATGTGTAAGTTAAAATTAAACTTTGCAATGTTTCTTAGGGCTAATTTCACCTACAAGACAGGTATAAGCACGAGCCACATACCAAGATTTAAACAGAGAAACCTGGCTACTACTGAGTGAATTCTTTCCTACGGGTTGTTCACCAGATGTAGTTTTTGGACATTTTCCATAACAAAGGCTCCTCTAATAGATGTTCCAAAGCATTAATGGCTAACACATACCACTACCAGTTACCATCCCTTTGTTTAAAGGCAGGGGACTGGGTTCGAATTTCCTCTCACCAAAAGAACATTGACATACGTCCTAGCTTCGGATTTTAGAGCCTCCGTTTAAACCCTTCCTTCCCAGTTAGACAATGGGCCAACTGCACGATGGCATCATTTTACTACTACTACCAGAATCCTTAAGTGTTTTGCGTTCTTGTGCAAATTAGGACTTTTGTTTTTTAACCTCACAGAGGTTACCAAATGTAAATATCAAAGAAAAACGAAACGAATTCTGGTCTTAGTAGCACAAAGACGTCATCGTGCAAATGGCCTAGCTATTTATTGTATTTCTCTCCCCCACCCCCCCTCCCCAAGACTGTCATTTAAGGGGCCACCCTCCACTGAGTAAAACTCTGTGTCACTGCATGCTTCGCTAATAACCTCGTGATGAATGGAATCACAGCATGTGGTCAGCAGGCTGTTATTTTGTTCTTACCAAGGATACCCTTCTGAAATGTTAGCATGCAATAAAACTATTGACCTTTCCTGCTACGTTTAGAGAAAAAAAAATACAATTATTGATGTAAGGATTCGCGGACAATCAAGAGTAATTTCTCTCTTCCTCTTATCAGAACTTTTTAATTTATAATTGTTAAGTTGTTTCACCGATTATTTGTTTTCATCATACTGTACCTTGTTCCTTAGATGGTCCTTTGGAGTTGTTTTGTGGGAAATGGCTACCATGGGTGAGATATATTAAATGCTTTGACTGATGTTAGAACTAGAATGACTGTCCATTGCATTTGTTTGTTTGTTTGACTAATAAATTCTAACGAAGTAATTTCGTATCCAGATCTCTTGTCGAGGAAGCCGAATGCGAGATCTGGTCGAATCCGTGCGTTACGTGATCGCCGGTCAGGCGCACTCCCCCACAATCTTAACAGTATGAGTAACCAATGAAATATGTTGATTTATGATGAGGTCCAGATATAACGCGCACTCTGTTTGGTAGCAAATGTGTGCTTTATGAGAGTATAAAACACGCAGCTAAAGTGTCGCACCACCTTGCGAAAGTTTGTTTTGAAAATTAAAAAGTGATGCATGGGGAATTTAACGGATTCTTTATCATGAAACAAATAAAGAAGCCTTGACACTGTGCTCTGTTTTTTTGTAAAGCACGCAGCAAACGGCAAGAACACTTAAGAAGTAGGGAGAAAAACTCTCTTGTGCTTTAGCTACTTCCGGCGTGCTTTACAACACAACAGAGTACAGTCGAAGCTTTTATATTTTAAACTCTTTTCAGTTGACCTTATCTCGTCTTCGGCTTCGTCGACCAGAGATCTGGGTACACGATAACTACCAACGTGGTGAGTCAATCTGTCACGTGCTAAAATAAGTAACAGTTCTTGACAGACGTAATGTTAGCTTAAAAGTTCTTTGAACCTTCCACAATAATACCTAAATTGAACATTTTAGGGGGGACTCCTTATCCCAGAATCAGCCATGCCCAGTTGTACAATCTCCTTAAGAAAGGGTATCGCATGGAACAACCAAACACTTGCGGTGATGAAATGTAAGTAAACGTATTGTAAATGACTAGCAATTAATACTTGTACCAAACAAGAAACATAATTAACATCTTTTAAAAACAACATCGTTACGCTATAGGCATGATCATCTTTAAAAAGTTCTTAACAAAGCCGCGTTCTCGACTACTTCTTTCACTTCATCGGTAAAACGCCAGGGGTAAAGTACAATACACTTCGATTGACCTTATCTTTAGGAAGGTAACAAGTGACAATTAAAAAAAACAATCATGACTTTTTAGCAGGTACTCATGCGACTTGATTGCGACAAAAATCAATGCAAATGGCGAATATAGTGCCAACGCAAGTAGATCGATAAAAAAAGAACCAGGCTTAACTCTCCACCAGACGAAGTAGAATCATACCCCAATTTCATTCACGTTTCTTTGACGTCATGAACGTTAAGAACTACCTCCTAATGTTCCGCTTTAAAACGGATAATTTCATCCCTGCTTTACTACTCACAAGGGAAATTTCGTTTTGCTGAAGTAAAAACCAAATCTTAGGTAATCTCGCTCGGCAAAACATGGCAATGTAAATAGCTTGAACCCAGTATTTCGTCTCGTAACTAGGTGAAATGTGATCATTCAGGTGATTGTACTTATTGAAAAGATTGTTGTTAACAGTGATTACCTATATGACAACAACGATCATCAGAGTTCAAAGTGGGTTGCGTGTTGTAGCTTGACGACAATTTTGGCCATCGTCATAATTGGGTAACTTGAACAAAGCATAATCCATAATATTTTTTTCTCTACAGATACAAGTTAATGCTGGACTGCTGGAGGGATGATCCGAATGAACGACCCTCATTCACCGAAATGATACCAACCCTTGAACAAATGATGACAGCTGATACCCCATATTATGATTTTACACTGTTAGATGAGAGCCAGGAATGTTACAATGATCAATGCCCCAGCACCAGTGAAACTGTGGACACTCTCTTGTGATGACTCCAAAGTGAGTCGACCTGACGTGTTACTCTGTTAACGTAGGGCTAGTTTGCAGATTACTCAGTTAAATCTACTTAAGCTTCTGACATTATGTAGACTGTAGTGACGATCACGTTAACGAGAACAGGTGCTTCACTTCAATATTATATAGATTTAGCCAAGCCCAAAAGCGAAGCTTCCGTCTGTATACTGATAACAAAGGCAACAAATTTAAAGCCATTATTATAATGTTAAATATCCAACTTTAGTCCCCTCCTTAGGAGAGAGGGGTTAGCTGATTTAAGACAAAATGTTCTTTAACATATCTAAAATCAAATAACTCTACCATTGAGCTAACAGACTAATATTTACAGCAAAACGTAATTGTCAGTCAAGTTCGATAACTGTACTAAGCCTGGAAATGAATTCTTTCCAAACTATACCACAAAGAGTCTGAGAACTCCCACCGCCACGCCGGGAGCGGGAAAGAGGAGCAAAGGATAATTTTTACTTGAGGATCATTTTTTTATATCCCCCACAACATTAGAAAACATCATTTCTGATAGTAAGTTCCACTCAAGTTCAAAATTATCACAAAGACCTTACTTTCAGTACTATACTGAGCTGGTGAATTCTGAAGTAGATCACGAGCATAAGGTGTGTTGATGCTTTTGTAATAATGTCACTTGACCGTTACCAAGGAGACCATGGGTATTCTCAAGTAGTTTAAGGCCTGGGACTAAGGGGTTTACCTGAGGAAAATGAATTAACGGCTATAACTTTGGCATAGATGATGGCATTGAGTCAAAATTTGGCACCTGTAAAGAACTCATCGTCCTTAAAATTTTAAAGTATGAATATTGTGTCAATAAGTCACGTGATATGTCACGTGACCACTTTGCTAAAAATTGTAAATTATTGACCAATTGGTGGCCGGTTTAAGAAAGGAAATCCAGCAATAACATTTTTCTAATTCATATTAAATATTTCTAACACTAACACAGGACCATCCCCATGACCGTCCATTGCCCTTCAATATGAAATTATGAAGGAAAACATCATCTTAAATGCCCAAATTTAATCTTGAATTATTAAAAACTTAAATTTTAAACTTCACGCACATTCATTCTAAATATAGAAAGTTAGGTATGTTTATCCTGTTTCAGAAATGCCAATTTGTTTATCCGAAAAAAGTAAATTCGCCACCAATTTGCCAATTTCCTTCATTCTCAATTTTTGGTCACATGACATGTCATGTCACCATAATTAAACGTTAAGGCACAAGAAAACCTCAAGATTTGCCTTTTGGAAAAACTTCATTTTGTTCTAGGTCTCCTAGCGAAAGATACTGCCGTCATTCATATGCCCAGAACACACCTTTGACCCAGGCCTTAAACCCCTTGAGATGAGCGCGCGTGGCCCCACAATGTTGGAAGAGCTGTTCAAACGCATCCACCATTTTTGCGCTATACTTCGGGTAAACAAGGATCAAAACAAATGTTGGGTTGTTGGCTCAGTAGTTTGACCGGTTTCAAACTTTGCGCAACAACTCCCAACAACATGCAAAAGGGACGCAACATGTAATATTCAACAACGTCCGGAGTTGTTGACCAACAATGTTGTGTCAATTGGCACTGGGCTTTAGAATAAATTGTGAGGGAACTTTTTTTTTCAGAAGAGTATCATTTAAAAGAAAGGTTTCCTACGAACAGGCAATAACTAGAAATTTTGCATCAAGTTGAGTTTTACAAGCATGGCTGTGTCTATATAGGAGTCAGAGGTGGCCATAGATTTGTGTAAAGAACAGTTCTTTTTAATAGCGAGAACGTACTGGTTTAGGCCATTTAAATTGTTTTCCTTCATTAGCTTCTGAGTGCTCGTTAGACCATTTTACAGTTACCAGCTTTAGTAGGTACCCTAGCCTCTGAGTTAACGTGAGGCTGAGCTTGACCTTACTTTGATACATTAAACCTCTTTCCTTTTCTTACGAAAATCCTGGTAAAAAATACTAGTTAGCATAAGAACAACATGATTTACCTAATAAAGCAGGAAGGGTTTATGTCAAAACAAGGTCAACTCTAGCCACTCGTTTCCACCCGTAAAATTCAGAAAATAAGCCCCGGGGCTTATAGTTTTCAAGGGCCCTTTTTGAGGGGCTTATATTCGGAGGGCTTATCTACGGAGGGACAGTTGCGTTTCAAAATCGATTGGGCTAGCCTTATAGTTGGAATGAAATTTATCATTTTTGCTTTGTTTTACTTTGTATTTAAGGGCAATTTTCAAGTACAAGCCCGCCGGGAGGGGGGTGGGGGGCTTATATTTGGAGGGGCGATTTAACGGAGGGTTTTTTGCGTTACGAGTTTGGGGGGCTTATATTTAGAGGGCCTTATTTTCGGAATTTTACGGTATTTCACACAGTTTAATAATATGAAAAGAGTCGAAACATATGCTCATAAATGATAAAAGTCTGGGGTTGTACGGAAATTTTTACCGTTAATTATATTGATTTCTTAAATATAACTAAGGTTAAATTATAACGTTTGGCTTACTTACCAACGTGTCGATCCAACAGCTGTATATTGCTTCCAGAGTCGATTTAATAAGTTCCACCATGCCTGTGTTCTGTTCAGAGGAAAATATGCAGTGGTAAAAAAAACTAAACGGATCCAGGCGTTGATAAAAACCTCTAGACGTCAGTGCTGTGTTCTTTTGGTGTGCTAGCATGCGCTACTTTCCCCAAAAACTGTTATCATAAACGGTCAAGCTTGAGATTTGCCGCCATATTGGTTTCTTCGATCTTCTCTTTACCCCAGGCTTCTCTCAATCACAATATTGCTGACGGGGAAGGCGTGGTGAAGAGCCTTACTTATCAAGACGCTCTTTGAGCGTGGGCTCGGGCTACCGTTGTTAGATACAGTGGATTTGGAGAAAACAAATTGATTTAGTTGTACTACTAAGGGTTGAATGATCATGATTTACAGCACAAGCATACAGCCATGGCGTTTGCACGTTGGAATTGTTTGCTGTTTTTATCATAAATTTATGTCGCCGCTCCTGTGTTAAAACCTCACGCAACCTAAAAGCCTTTATCTCCACGGCACTATAAGCTGAAAACCTACGACTCAGCATCGTGCAACCTAATGGAACGAGTGTAGGCAGTTTATAATTTGGTCAAGCTAATTAAGATAACAGCAATTTAGGCCGACACCGCCGGCAAGTGGTGAATTGTAAAACGATTAAACATTGGCGTGTAACAGAGCTAAAGCTAATCGCAATTGAAATAGTGCGACAACACGAGAGGAAGAAGAGAGAGAGGGGGGAAAACCGGAGTAACCGGAGAAAAACCTCTCGGAGCAAGGGAGAGAACCAACAACAAACTCAACCCACATAAGGCGTCGGCGCATATAACGACGTCATAACAATAACAATCCCCGGGAGCTCTGGCGCGTCACGCTCTAACCTGAGATCAGGCGTTATTATTGTTGTTGTTTTTTTTTGGCTTCTTTGTTTCTTTGGCTTGATAGGAACAAAAAAATAACGCCTGATACACTTATTTAACAAGCCATCAACCGCCCCCTAATTTACATAATCTAACGTCTGCTTGACCTGTCATGTTATTAGCCAATCAGCGTTTACCAGACGGGAATCAAATTTTGGAGGGAATAATGTCTCTTTCGAAGTCAATTTTAAAGAAAAGAAAGTTTTTAAGTACGTTCAGATGACGCTTCCTAAAAAGAAAAGTTTAAATGATTTTTTTTTTGTGATGAAATACTGCTAGCTGGAGCTGCCGTACCTTTTTTTAACAGCTACAAATAATAAAGAATTTACTGGTAAAAGCTCGTTGACCTCGTTCTGTGCCGAAAGCAGTGAAAAACAAAATTAGGCTGAAGCACCATATTTCACGAACTGAAAAGTGTTGTGAAAAAGATGGCTCAGAATAATTCGCAGGTTTCTGAAGGAGGAATTACGGTCAAATCAGGTCAAGATTCCATTTATAAATTAATTATTTGAAAAGTGAACCCGTTTGTCGCTTCTGTGACTTGTAGCCGGTATCAAATTGCATTCAAATGATCAGTCAATTTTTGACTGCAAGTTTTAGTTTACGATGAAATGGAAAATATTTCAGTGGATGAAATTTCTTACACTTTTTTCAAAATCAAGAAAACTGAGCCGGCAGAAATTTCATAACGAACTCGCGTGTGTATTCACTGCTCATTATGCAAGCAAAAATGCAGACTGAAGTCACCAACAACTAACGGATGGCGGCGTTTTGGCCAATCGGAACAGTGCAAATCATCTGTATTGTTTCCTATTCAATCAGAAAAAGTCCAGATGCTCGCTTTTTTGCATGTGATCTGTAAAAGAAATGTATCATGCCCTCCTCCAAAAAACAGATTATAGAGACATAGGGAGAGGGCATGATCGCAGGCTAGTCACTCTCCATTAACTGCGATTTACTGTTTCACTGTTAATCTTTGTAAAAAAATCAACAACAATTTTAATATAAAAAACAAGAAAATATATCAGCAGTAAGTAACAGAAAAATACACGGGAAAGAACGTAGATATGACAAAACCTCTCCTGTTAGCATGGATAATAGAAAGAATCGATAGGAAACTTATGTCACGTGGGCTGATTTCTTATCGTCGATTGGTTGGTTCGTGCTCCAAGATGGCGTTGAATGGTTCCATCATAGTGGAAATTTGTGACGAAACGATGGCGAAAATGTGGCGCAAACCAGTCGAACTGTAGGGTTTCTTTGCCTACATGTTGTTCTTTTTCGGATTTTTCAGTAGTACTTTAATTTTTGTTGTGTGTTTTTCCCTTCGTTTGTTGTCTTACGACGATGGCGAGCCTTCAAAGCCACACTTGAACCTTCGAGATAAGCGCTTCTTGTTGTTGTTTTGTGTTATTTGTCCTTGTCTTTGAGAAAATTGCGTCCCAAAAATTGACCTTACCAGAGCCATATTTAGTACACTTGGCCACTGTTTTAGGACGCCTTCGTTATGAAGGTTTCT